AATATGTGTCCATATGTCTGAAATATCCTGAAGCAGCTATAGTGTTTTGTACTGTCACATCGCGTGAGATTCCCTCTTTTTTAAGATAAATTTATATAACATTAATGAACATCAGTAACTTATTTAATGAATGTTCCTGTAAGAAAACATTGTAAATAATTGGAAATCCGGCGACCGCAATAATCAAACCCTTGGGAACAACTGTGGTCGGAACCAAAGTTCACAGGTCTGTGTTCCCTGAACTGCTATCAAGCGTTGGACGTCTTCATTCTGATTGCTTGCCGCCGAACCGCGTCATAGCTCATTACCATAAAGTTGACTTCATTTTAACTCTCCTCGACGCTCATGCCGGCGAAGACGCGCCGCGCTGCTCCTCGCCGCTTATCGTCGCCTATCGTCGCCGGCTCTCATTGAAAATTAATGACTTCCGGCTACTTTGACGCTCTCGCCTTTTTCGGTGTGAACGTACGGTAAGATTGTGGTAAAATCTGAAAACATAATAAAAATCAGACTGCCGCGAGGGCTTTTCATTTTCTGGATTGCTTTTAAAAACACTGTCAGTTGGGTTTAGGGAAGTGGGTTGAGCGCTGATCAATCGGTTGCGCTTAAGGAAGGAGGGTGGTTGGAGGTATCAGTCAGTCAGTCAGTCAGTCATTAAGTCAGTTGACAGCTGCCTCTGATGGATTTACGCAAGAACAGCAGGTGCAAATGGCACTTGCGAGAGAAATGTGAGATCTGAAAAAGCATGAAAACGGCTTCTGGCAGATTTGCAACCAAAAAATGCACAAAAAAATTACTTCTTAAGATGTATTTGACACTCTTCAGAAATGTATATAGGGGTATGTATCAATAAGTTGTTATCTTGTTATTAAATCAAATCAAATCACTTTTATTGTCATACATACAGACATACAGACAGTGCAAAGTACAACAACACACTCTAAAAAACAAAACAATATACAATTAGCAATCTTGACAGTAATACATAAAAGACAATGAATATGTGAAGGACAATAAATGCATAAAGAAAAAAAAAAGTGTTGTATTAAGTGTTGTTACCTTAATGTTAATCTATGGTATAACTTAAGATGTAAAACATTTTTTATGTTACATTTTGACATCCCATCATTTCGTGTTTCGTCATCCCTTGTCATCTTTTACTCAAAGAGGTCATCATGAAGTTTTGGTCTTGTAATTTATTTATTCGCCTTTGAGCATCTTGTGTTTATTGATGTTGTTTGCTGTTGAACATTTTTAGCTGTTCCAAGGGTTACAGAGCTTTAAATATATATTTTCCTCACTGAATGCAGCATTGATCACACATAACACTTTTCAGTGTTAAATAATTATTCTTTCCTCCATTTTCAAGAAGTATTTTTCTTTTTCTTATTTTTTTTATTGAAATGACTCATGCCCAGAGTTCTGCGTTTCATTAAGATACAGCAGAATTTTTAAACACACTAACTTAACAGCTCGGTGTGACAAACAACCTCAATCTATACCTTGTTATGTGTCATTAACATGTATGCCTGTACATATATAGCATCAGGAAATGCTGTAAACTATGTAGGGAATATATTAGTAGCACATTTCTATAATATTAAAGGCTACAGTTAAAAACAGACTGTTAATAACCTGCAAAATTCAGCTCCTATTTATTTTTAGATGTAATCAACAGACAAAACATCAATTGTTTATGACAGGGATTACATTATCTTCCGGATCTAATAATGAAATGAAGTTTTTGCTACCAAATATAATTCACATCTATGTTTTCATGATAGATTTTTGTGAAACTCGTTACATAATTATTTTAAAATATGCATAAAAAAATATTAAATAAGACATCACTACTAAAAATAAGCATAAAGCAATGAATATGTAGGATAACAGTGTAAAATCTCTTCTGCAGAATTCATTTCTCTGCTTTTCCTAGAAACTGAATAACTTACAGAAGAAAATGCAATGCTAACTGACATGTGGTTTACAAGCTGTTTTACTGACATTTTTTCCACAATTTAAACAATAATTTGGTGGATGCATGAGAAGTGAGATGTTTATTCGTGTTTATTTTATGCTATAACTAGTTGCAATGAAGCAGCTCATGCTCTGCTGCTGTTTGAACTGAGATAAACAATCTGTCACACCACATAAAAGAGAGGAAAATAGATCAAGTACTTTAATTTCAAGCCAAAATTTGATATATTAGACACATTTTTACCTTTAAAATGGGTATAATTTGACATATGTGACTTTGTTTCTCATCGAAAGAAACAAAACAACTGAAGAAAAAACTTTTTTTTTTCTTTTTGGGGATTGGAGGCATGCTGTGTACTTATATATATATATATATTACAGTTAGAGTTAGGGTAGATACAGGTTTGAAATGTAAACATATTTATAAAAAAGGAAGATATATAAAACTAGAAGTATATACAGGGTTTATAAGCTCATGAAAATTCATGGAATTTATATAATTTAATATTTTTTAATATAAATTAAATGAGTTACACAAGGTCTTTCAATTCCATCATTTGTTTTCAGTAGTTTTCATCATTACTATTCTATTATTTTGTTTATAAGTTATGCTTAAGGGTAAAGTTAGTTGTTGCAGCCTTTTGCTACTTTTCTATCCTTGCTCTTTCTTTACATACTTTCACATAATTTCAAACATAGGCTCAATCTGAAAACATCCCCCATGTACAGTTTTGGAGAGTGTGAATTATGTAGCCAGAGCAACGTATGGCTGCATTTCATCTTGAAAATGAACACTATGGGGGCGGTGTGACACCGTTCCTTTTTGCGCTTGCCAGCTGACCGATTACCTCAGTATGGATGGCTTTTCCGCTGGTAACTGTTTGTCCAGTGGCTTGTCGCTTACTTAAAAGTATTTAAGATGCAGAGTAGACAATGACGACGGGGTCTGAGTCCGGTAAAAAATGGTTCCAGAAAGCAGGAAAGATAAAAGCAAAAGCCAAAAAATCAAATAAACAAGTAAATAACAGTGTAAATGTGGTAAAATCTGAAAACGTAATCAAAAGTATGCTGCCATGAGGGCTTTCCTTATTTTGGATTGGCATTCAAAACACTGTCGGTTGGGTTTAGGGAGGTGGGTGCTGGTCAATTGGTGCTTTTTTAAACACTATTGGTTGGGTTTAGACATGGCTTACTTTGTGCCAGAACACGCCGGACTCCCTATCCCTCTTCATTTTCGTCCTTTGTCCGCGACACCCCTTCTCTATCCAACAGCCCCCAGCACCCCGACAGCGGTCTCTGGTGGATTTACACAAGAAAAGCAGGCGAGAATGGCATGTACGAGTAAAATTTGAGATCTGAAAAAATGTAAAGAGCAGCCTCTGGCAGATTGGCAAAAACAAAAACTGCAAAAAACCTACATCCAGTGACATATTTGGCATTCTCCAGCAATGTATATAGGGGTACGTAAGCGGAATGAGCCTGGGTTGTCATTTTATCTTAGTGTTGTGTAAAAATGATCTAAATAACTTTTATTTTGCATTAAAAATAACATAGATGTTACTCTATGCTGTAATCACTTTGTGCATTTTTCTTCTTTTTTTAATATACATAGTCATTACATGAAAATTTATGTCATGAGTATTTACTTGAAAGCCTTGAAAGAGTCATAGAATTTTAGTTGGACAAAAATGTGTACAAACCCTGTATATATAATGTAGTTACTGTTACTTAGAGGTTAAAATGTAAATTTAAAACAATCCTGCTTCTATAGGTTTTTTATCTGAACTAACATATCTGCAAACAATTTTTTTTTGTTTCAGTAACACATTTGGCCGCTCTTTTTTTTTTTTTTTTTTTTTTTTTGTGTGTGTTTACCTTCTTGCCAAACAAACCAAGGCTGCGAGGCATTAAAGGCCTCTTTTGAGCTGCCTCAGGGTCAGGCACCTCTCTGACCTTCTATTCTGCACTGCTGCAGCTGATGTAACCTTCCCTCACTGACTCAAAACAATTACTTTCAGCTTTGTAGGAAACCTTGGCTTCTATAACTGTAGGTTTTACTCTCCAAGCCCCATAACTTAAAAACGAAGAAGCAACTCCCCTCCACCATCACATCCTATTTCTTGTTTCTGGTGCTCCATTACCCATGGAGCTGGAGTCTGGCAAAGGCATGCAGAAGATGAGAAGAGCAGATACAGTAGCTGTTACTGCTGCAGTCTGTTTTCTCTCTCTGCCTCACCTCCCTCTACGGCCCACAAGCGGTAAACATTGTGTGTTGACATATGGCCCTCCAAGATTTAATCGCCCTTTATTACATTTTGTCGGTGGGAAAAAAATGAAGCGATACAAGTTTGCACATTACCATCGGTGTGTGTGTGTGTGTGTGTGTGTTTTCTTAGAAGGTCTATCCAAAACAAGAGATGCATAACCAAAAAGTGTTTATTTGAAAATATTTGCCTCGGCGCATTTAATATTTATTGCATACATATTGAATATTTGAGCTGCATCAAACATGTAAATTATTCACTCTCATAATTACCTGTGTTTATTCACATAGTTACTACTCGGCTGTTGATTGAAGCTTGTTTGTTATTCATGGAGCAAACCTCGTGCCAAAGGACTCTCCTGATGATGTAACGTCATGTAATTACAGGCAGATGACAGTAATGCAAAATCCATTATGTGGTTTAATCTCTTTAGAAGAATGCACATGGGGCCGTCTGGAGCCTATCACTCAATCATATGGTGAAAGTGTTGGATACAGTGAATGTATGACCACTTTTCTGTCCTTTGTGAGTGTCTGTTTGCTTACTAGCTTTTTAGGGCTATTTTTTAAACCCTAGGCTAATCCCATGATCCCGCTTTGCAATGTGTTTTGACGTTTTGGTCACATTTGACTCCCCCTTCCCATGTCAACCAATAACATCATTTAATTAAGTCCTGAAATGCAGATATTTCTCTGGTGTGAAACCAAATGTTCTTTTTTTTTTCATCAATCCTTTTTTCTTTGTGCATCCAACCTAAAGATGCTGCCTCTGGGAAAAGCAGGTAAAAAAAAGCCATCAAATCCAAAAGCACTTGACAGATTTGTGATCAGTGGCACAGTTCTCCTGAAATTGTCTAGTGGTGTATTTTTATTGTGGAAGTGAATGCTCACTCTTTAGAGAATAGCTTCATTATGTGTGCCCCCAATAGAAAGTGCTGTTTGTTGGTGTGATTGTTTGTTGTAGATGGGATGCTTTAGACTGAAGCGCCTCATGTCAGAAACACAGCTTTTCAGCCCAAATTAAAAACAAAAAAAGCCTGTTTGTTGGTTGGTTATGCCCATTTGGTTGAAACATAGACTTTTTCTCCACCAATCTTCAATCTGTTGAGCTCAAGCAATTATTTCAAGTATTCCTCCCTAGACGTCGTTTTCCCCTGCCTTGCCAAATGTTCCAAGCATCCCCATGTTCCACTCTCAATCAAGCCATGACGCTTTCATCCATTTTCAATTTGGACCACAAACTTGAGGAAGTGCCGCCAGCCGTCCCTGATCCTGTCAAGACAAAATACTGTAGTCTGTGTGTCACCTTCCAATTTAACTAAAATGGGCAACTTAGAAGCAATTGGCAGAACAATGGCAGTGTTTGGTGTAGAGATGTGTTTACCATCTCTTTTTGCTCTCAGTGTGGGTTCATCCTCTTTTCCTTCTCTCCTGCCTTCGGTATGTTTACTTGTATAATAATTACATTTGCAGAAAATTTTGATTATCATTTATTGTCAAAAACATTTATTTTGTCTGCAGCAGAGATGCTCAAACTAGGGCCCGCGGGCCAAAGTTGGCCCATGGTAACCTTTGATTTGGCCTGCCATCCCATCTGAGAGGGAGAATGATGGGTGTGGTTTAGAGATTGTCATTTCAAATTTAATTGAACCTTTTATTTGTTTGTTGTATTGTTAAAACTATAAAACGCATAGTTATTTAGGGTGTTTCACACCTGCAGATCGATTGTTTTGTTCCGAAATAGGAATTAGAATTGTTACAATGTTGCTCTTTGTTCGTGGTGTGATTCGCTTTTACACGGCAACGTTTCTAAACAGACCAAAATAGCTAAAACAAGTCACATGCAAGTAAATTCTCCTTACATTGGTCAGAGATCACCTCATTCAGGCAATCTCGGACCGATTGTTTTGGCGCGAATGTGAGCGATTGCTGGATTCACATATGCCAAACGAACCCTGCTAACTGGGGAAACGCGCCAGGTTCCATAACAAAAGACTAGGTGCGAAAGCATCCTTAATCAGATTTCATTTAAAATGTACATACTGTCACCGGACGGATAAAAAATTGCCTTGAGCAAATCAAGGCAAAGGCAGATTCTGCTTGACTAGTGTATTCATTGAACTCCACTGTGTTAAAAAATATGATTGTTTAAATTGCAACTAGTTATTCAGCAATTTAAAAAACTATACTGCATTAGTTAATAAAAAAAAATTCTATGTATTTTTAAATATTATGAAATAAATTAGGAAAATACCCATTGCAACTTTAATGTAAAATAGTTTGGTATAGTTTGGTTTATTTATCGTTGGTGCACGACTATCAAAGATATTCTGTTTTTTGGCCCTTCGTATGAAAAAGTTTGCTCATTTCTGGTCTAGAGGACATGTCTGATATGACTGTTTAACCTATTTATTTCCACTATATACACACATACGCACAGAAATTGTAAATAAAATCTGAAATAACTGCCTTTCCCTGACAAGTTCTAGAAGGTTCTTTGTTTTTAGCACTGCTGTCAATGTGCAGTGCCCATTCAGTTCAGAGAGAAAAAGACTGGAGGCCTTCGGGCGCTTGGCTTTTTGAAGTGCAAGTGGATGAAAGACTCTGCCATCATTTCAACTCATATTGTGGTTTCCATGCAGAGTTCAAAGTTCAGCATCTTCCACTTTCACCGATGCCAGAGGAAGTTGTTCTGCAGAGAAATGCGGATTTCCTCTCCACTTGTTCTCTCGGTTTTCATTGGACCGTTCCTCCCTCTACCTTAACCACATCCCTTCCATCTCTTTGTATTACCCTCTTGTTATTAGCATTGTCCCTCCCCTGTGGTGAGTATCCTTGTTAGGACAGATTTATACGTCTACTGAAGCTTGAATTAAAAGGCTCTAGGCAAACTCAAAAAGGGGATTTGTTAGCACAAAGCACTTGCTCTTATAATCACCAAACACTGAGCTTTCAGCTACACTGTTATTGGTAGTAATAACACATAGTTGGCCACTGTGACTGTGTTCTATTTCACCTTTGTCTTGTTGCAAAAATCTCTTTGCCCAGACAAAGCCATAAAACAGCCTTTTCAAAATGATTTCTAGCTTGTTTTCTCATTGGCCCAGGCAACTGACCTTGGCAAACGAGCTAGACTTCAATTTAGTTTGAAGTATGAATCCGCCTTTACTGTGGTGCCCACTTGCTCCTAACTCATTACCTGACATGATGAATGGGGTCTGTTCCATTAAACTATGCCCAGCCCATGGTGGCATGGGCACCTGGCACTGAGTAATGGCAGTTGCACGGGCAGACCTGCCAGGGTAGGTACGAAAGGTGTGGCGGCTTAAGCATGGAGTTGGCCCTGGAATCTACGGGGGAAAGAGGAAGGTTGTCCACTCCACCTGCCACATGGCCTCCACCCAGACTCTCACTACACCATGTTTGAGTGTAGAGAGGGCCTTTGTGTGATCCTATAATGGCTGGTCTCGGTTGCCAAGTTCGGCTAGCACATTTAGTATGCCTCCATAATAATTCTATTGGCCTAGATTCAAAGAGAATCTGCTTAGTATTTTATAGTTTAAACAATTAAACTATAGCTAACCCTTAAATTAAAACACTTGTAGCTCAGTACTCTAGGTTCATTTGGTCTGGATATAACATAAGTCTATATTATGTCTAACATACATCTAAGCATACTTTAGATATCTTGGTTAAACATGGTTAATTTTGTTCATTGAAAATCTAATAAGCATCTAAAAATAGTCCAAAACCAAACTAGTCATCAAATGCACAGGAACGAATGACTGAAGTCTGTCTAATCTGTGTATTCTGTGTACTGTAAATATAGTCTAGTTGTGGGCTTTTCTTAGATGTTAGCCTAGATGTCAATCTAGTAGTTGTTAGAGCTATTAAATTTTCACAAACAGTACAGATTTATCCATTTAGACATAAATTAGACATCTTTAAAATACAAAAAATAATTAATAAATGCTTGCTGGTTAGTCTTGGTTCACTTAGTATTTGCATTTTCAAGACCAAGACTAAAGATACAAAACTAAAAAAAAACGGAAAAACACAATGTACTAAACATACACGACAACACATAACACTCTCATTGTGGGCTCTATTTTAACGATATTGGCGCAAAGTCCCAAGCGCAGGGTGCAAAAGCATAAAGGGCATGTAATGAGCTATAGGTGTGTTTTGAGAATAAGCCAATCAGAGTCTCATCTCCCATTCCCTTTAAGAGTCAGTTATGGCAGACTTTGAAGTGGAAAAACTGATTGCTTCACTAGAGAGAAAATAGAGCATCAGCGCAAGAATGAGAGATGAGCCTCCTCATTCATTACTTTCACTTTGTATAGAGAAACATGTTGTAACCACAGACATCCATTCTATATAGCCTATATAGCCTATACATAATTAATTTTGTTTATTAAGCGCAAAGATTTGTTTCAAAACTATTTCTAAATTCATTTCTAATTTCCAGCAAACGAATAAATGAACAATAACAATGAGTTATTTCCAAATTGGTCTCAAACCTGACAGATGGGCAAATCTAAGATTGTTTTTAATAAAACAAATATAAATATGCATATAATAAAGAATACTACTAATAATAACATTATACAAAAGCAAATTGTCATTGAAAAAAAGCCCCCCAAGATGAAGAAGGCATGGAGGCGGTGGTCTTTGTATTTATGTAGGCTAGAAAATAAGAATGTTTGTAATATTTTAATCCTTTAATTATTTTTTATTTGTAAAGATATTTGCGTAATGTTGTACATCCTGTGTGTATTAAGCAATGTTTAAGCGAGGCGCACAGCTAACGCGTTCTGCACTGGACTTTAAACCAGCTTTGCTCTGGTCTATTGTGCAGTCTATTATAGTTCCTCAAAATAGCAACGTGCCTGCAATGAGCCTTAAAACGCCTCCTTTTTTAGACCAGAACGCCATTGGGCGCACATATGACCGCAAATGCATTTGCTATTTAAACAGCGTGCTGCAAAATGTCAAAACGACTCTTGCGCTGAGCTAAATCTAGCAAACAACAATTGCCTTGTGCCGCTTTGTGCCGGGTGTATGATAGGGCCCTGTGTGTGCATACAGTACATGTGATGGTGTTATTATAAATTGAAAAAGAATGAAAAGCTTGTAAAATATGTAAAGTCAAATCCATGCCAGAAAATGGTCTGTTGTGTGTCTGTAGCACAACAACATTTCAATCCGTTCGAAGGATATACGTTTTTGATGATTGTTTTGAATTGTGATGAACAACATTGTGGCTATGATGAAAAAAAAAAAGCCCTGTGTGCTTGAGCTATCATTTTTATGGTCACTTCTTGTCACATCATATCCGGTTTTTGGTGCCTCATATTTTAGCCGAACCACAGTAGAGATTATTTGGAAGCAGAACAAGACCCATCTTTTAAGGGGTCTGCTTTCTTAGTTCACACCAAGGCTCAGGTGGCAGTGTTCACATCCATTCAAATGAACAGCAGTAAAAGATTAATTACACCAGAGTTTGTTTTTAAATCAAGCCAATTAAATAAGGCTAATCCTGCTAAGTGTGAATTTTAACCATCTTCTCTGCGATCCAAAAGGAGTACATACATCAAGCGCTATTGTCTTCAGTCATATGAGCAAGGTTTAAACAACATAAGGGTGTATATAACTGTGCTAGAATGTTATTTTTAGATGAACTATCCCTTTAAATGCTCCCAGACCTCCAGTAGTCTTCAGATAAGCACATGCAGCTGTGTACGCACTGTTTTCCTACTTGTGTATGGGCGCGTTCCATTAAGTGTCTCTTCTCCAGGCTGTGTTGTTATAGGTGAAGGATCTCTCAAGCCCGAGACTAGATCGCAAGCTCAATGGAGTTACTATGACACCAGACAAGAAGCAGCCGACTCCAGACCTTCTTATGTAGCTCTCTCCTTAATCACTTTGCCTTTGTTATGATGTCTGATGTTGTTCCTCATCTTCTTTCAAACTATTTTCTAAGCCCCTGTTTCCTTCCCTGTTTTCCGTCTCTGATTTTTGCATTGTTTTTTTCGTGAATATTCCTCTAAGTGTTCTTACTTGTTCTCTTTTTCAACAGACAACCGTCGCACTGGTTTGGAAAGATCCCGTTCGCGCCACAATGCAAACCCTATGGTCCGATGATCGCTTGCCGGCTAAGGACGTTCGCCAAGTGCCAAAGACCCAAGAGTGGGGACAACACCGAGGAGGGCTGAACCGGGATGGAGACGGAGCCCTCGGCTTTCACATACATACACACATGCACACAAAACGCAGAAAAAACCTCAAGATGTGCATCACAGACACTTCATTGCAGGATCACATGACCCTTCTGAAGCCTTATATACTACATCGTGCAATGCGCCAGTTTAATTATGCGGCGTTTGTTTGGTATTTTCAGTTATGTCAGCTTTGTTTATTTCTCATGACGCTGACTTCCCTGATTTGGCTCACTATCTCCAAACAATCAATGATTGGCTGTGGTTTGATCTCTCGCTATTGGACAGACAAACATGCTCCTGATGACAAAGGCCACCAGAAAGGACTGTGCGATTCTGTATGCATATCAGCAGAGGGACTTTATTTGAAAAAAAACATGACTTGACTGAAACTGCCTACCCCTTTTGCTTTCTGACAGATTTAGATCTCCGATCCTTAATTCCCCCCCTCAGCTGTATAACCTCTGATCACTGCCTCTCTTCATATATTACAAATCCTATGTATGTAGCGACATGAAAAAGCTGCTGATATTAGCTTCAGTGTGTACACATTTGTGCTGTGTAAGACCTGCCAGTGCCACAAGGTACCTTAGGTGGATGAAAGATATTGCTCTTTATCTACGGTAAACACTTCAAACATTCGCAGATGTTTCTCTAGCAGAGTCAAAGGTTTTATTAAGTGAATCTGCAGGTATGCGAATCAAAGAGATGCCATTCATTTCAGTTTTCAAATATGTCACGGCTTTTCTTCGTGATTTCCTTCCAAGTCACTGTGCTTTTAGCTTTTAGCCCTCTTGTAGAAGAGCATTTTAGTGAACTGTAGCTTAGGGGTTTTTATGAGGGGTTTTCTTCAAAATCCAATGGTCAACTTTAAGAGCTCTCTCTTTCTGACCGAATGCATTTGCTTCGCCATCCGTGCTTTCACAAAGAGGAGTATTTATCAGATTCAGTACTCAAAGTTCACGTTTCACAGTTTGCAGAATATGAATTTATTCTCAGTTTGCCAGATTTAGCCTGAAGCTTTTGATATGTGAACATTAACCAGATTCCAGTCATACAGTAGTAGAAAGTGACACAACGTTCACAACATGGTGGCTGTCTTCATGTGAAAACCATTAGTGAAATTTTCCCCGCCACCTCCCTTCTCTTATGCTTGTTGAGGAGTCATTTTTCGTAATGTCTTCGACCCCCCATGTCCATAACACTGCAGGCAACAATATGAGTGACTGGAGTCATACTGGTACAAGCCACACGCAAATCCGCTGCTTTTCTTTATGTGAAGGCAATGAGTTAAATTTGCACATCCAGTGCAAGTAAATGCAGTACAACCATGGTGTGGTGTTAAACAAGCCAGTCTTTCTTCTCGCACTGTGTTTGTCATACTCTCCCTCAAGAGGGAGAGGAAAGGTCGAGATGCAGCGAATCGCAATCCATTGATTTGCTTTTCTAATTAAAACTGCCCTTTGAATGGTTTCCAGAAGCTGCACTCGGCTCTCATGACTCTCACTACTGGTTATTTTAAACTTAAGTTAATGGTAATTACAGCATCTGCACACTGTCAGTGCAGACATCTTCCACATGCATTGTTATTTCCCAGTCAAACTCCGTTTAGATACATTTATCTGGTGGATTCATCAAATAATTCCCAAGCTTTCTGTCTTATAGTCAGAAACGATAGTCTTTTGATACATGTGCCAAACATTCATGATACACAAAAGAAAGCTAGCATACTGAGATTAAGGAAGATGATTTAGTCGAATGTTATCACTCGATTGAATGGCTGTTATCAGTGGTTATCAGCTTATAGATATGGACCAGTAGGGGGCTTCTGTGCCTACTATTAGAATTAATACAAATAATTCTCGTGGTTAATCAGCTATACTAATGGAGAAGACTCAAGATCCAGACCTGTTTTTACATTACTGTGGCGGTTGAGATTAGGGTTGAGGTAGAGGTAGACGTTAATATAATACAATTAATGGGAAATTTAATAAATCATTCATTCATTCATTCATTTTCTACCTATTTTCTGGGGCTGGGTCGCAGGGGCAGCAGTCTTAGGAAAGAGCCCTAGACTTCCCTCTCCCCAGACACTTCCTCCAGCTATTCCAAGGGGATCCCGAGGTGTTCTCAGGCCAGCCGAGGGACATATTCCCTCCAGCATGTCCTGGGTTTTCCCCAAGGCCTGCTCCCAGTGGGACATGCCTGGAACACACCGCCTTAGATAGGCATGCAAGAGGCATCCGCAACAGATGCCTGAGCCACCTCAGCTGACTTCTCTCGATGTGGAGGAGCAGTGGCTCTACTCCCAGCTGCTCCCAGGTTTCAATGCTCCTCACCCTATCCATAAAGGTACGCCTTGCCACCCTGCAAAGAAAAGTCATATCGGCCGCTTTTATCTGAGATCTTGTCCTCTCAGTTATGACCATAGGTGAGAGTAGTAACCTAGACTGACCGGTAAATTGAAAGCTTTGCTTTTCAGCTCAGCTCCTTCTTTACCACAACGGACCGATACATCGACTGAATTACTGCTGCCACTGCACCAATCCACCTGTCAATCTCACTTTCAATTCTTCCCTCAATCCTGAACAAAACCCCAAGATACTTGAACTCCTTCACCTGGAACTTTGCTTCCAACATGGAGATGGCAAACCACCTTTTTCCGGTGGAGCACCAAGGCCTTGGACTTGAAGGTGCTGATTCTCATCCCAGCCGCATCACACTTGGCAGCAAACTGCTCCAGTGCTTGATGAAGCCAACAAAACAATATAGTCTGCGAATAGCAGAGATGAAGTCCCGTTGTTTCCTGAACCGGACCCTCTCCTGCCCAAGGCTGCGCTTTGAAATTCTGTCCATAAAAATAAAGAGCAGAATTGGTGACAAGGGGCAGCCTTGCTGGAGTCCAACATGCAATGGAAACAAGTCTGACTTATTGTCGGCAATGCGAACCAAACTCCTACTCTGTTCATACAGGGACGAGATGGCCCTTAACAGAGCGCCTCTGACCCCATAGCCCCAGAGCACCCTCCACAAAATGCCACGAGAGACATGGTCTAATGCCTTCTCCAAGTCCACAAAACACATGTGGGCTGGTTGTGCATACTCCCATGAACCCTCGAAATTTAATAAATAATATAAATAATTCTCATTAACTTTCGCCCGCAACTGTATGTTATCTATAGCTGATTAACCATCTGAATGGATGATAACAGCCCACTGAGCCTATCAGTTGGAGCAGCAGGCACCTATTGGAACATATCTATCAGCTGTTAACCACAGATTACGCTCATTCGATAACATTTAAATCGGCTGATTTAGTTCAAATCACACTAATATTTTCTGAATGATGAAAACGAGTCACTACATTACACATGGAAACAGCAGTATCGCATCCATTCAGAGTTAAAAAACAGAGATAGGGCTTAGTGATGTCGTAATTTTTACAACTATAATGTCTCTTTAAAAAAAAGTGTAATTTATAGACTTTTTTCCTCTCTTTCCTAAGAAAACATCGTTTTATACCAGTGATCATCCCCTCCATCAGTGATGTTGGTGTTAATCTTGTGCATTACTATAGGCTAATATATATGTGTGATGTGTATTTGATAGAGAGTATATCCTAATGCAGGTTAGAGTCTGCAAGTGACTGACAGTGTAACATTTCCAGTCAAATCCAATACTTTAATTGGATGCTAGGCAGAGACCAGAAGTAGGCATAAAAAATGAAGTTACTAGTGCCAATTTGGGTCCTCTGCTGTCTCATTTATCCACATTTCTTTGATATCCTCAGTTTGGATTGTATGATGGTGCACTTTAACTTGTTAAATATAGACTGGAGGGATCTTTTAGTTTGCATATCATTGCCAAAACAGACTGCTCGCATGTGCGGTAACTATTTCTGACAAGCGATTCAATCTCCATTCTCTGAAGTCTCCCCCAGTTCGCTCTCATTCCCGCTCATTGTAATTGGCACTTGGAACAAGATCAAAGTTTAATGGGTAAGAACAACAGCAACTGTCTCAGGACATCCTTTTATTTTTTAGGTAAGATTCCATAGACATGCCTTTCTTTTTTTCTCCCAGACATTGTGTTTTATTGTCTTATTATAAGCGATTTATATTTGTAACATCTTTAAGTTTATTTTTATCTGTGACTTTAAAAAAATGAGGTGAAAATGGTTATGCACACTGTACCCGAGTATGTAACAAAACATCATACTAAATAATAACCACTTTCTCAAAAACAGATGTCTCCTTTTTGTCTGTGTTACTTACGGTACATGATGAGTTCCTGAATTATGCCTTTTCTGAAGGGTTTTTTCTCAAGACATTTGGTCAGTCAGCTGATTTCTATTGCTCCAGAGATGAGAGTAGGCAGTTGAGGAGAACCGTAAGTCTGTAAATTTACACTTCTCACAGCGGAATAGGAAAGCTGCAGGTATTCTTTGTTCCACGTTTGTTATACGGCTGCTTTAAATCGAAGATTAACATGAAAGTGAAATACAGCGTGCCTACTATTTAATTCTGCCACCACGTTTTTTCTTTTAAAAATGGTTTGAAAGATACGATTAACATCATATATATTCTACACAGAATGTCAGAGTGTGGGCTGCTCAAACATTATTCATAGACATAAAAATGACAGAGTTACTAGATGAACATTTTAGTCTATTAACTCTTGTGTCGGAATCTGAAAAGCGTAGCCACTGTCATGTCGAGTTTGACATTTCATCAATAATTGATTCTGCTCAAAACTTGCTCATTGTTCTAAATGGATCCACCCACAGGGAAACTCACTGGTCCAAAACAATGTCTAAGTGGATACTGTATATTGAATATGGTCAGACTGACTGTGATCACACTGTGCACCATATTCACTTTCAGAAAGGACAGAGGACTAGCAGTCCACTAAACAAAGAGACATTATTCCTGTGACTATTGTCAGCTGTTAAACAGATTTTTTTTTTTCATCTAATAGTCGTATTCTTTCTACATATCATGATAAAGTGGTCTAATTAAAATGTAAAAAGCAACACTGATTACCTCTTGGCTAACTGCTAAGTGGCCTGAAGGTATATTTTTCAGATGAATCATCTGTTGAACTGCATCCCAGTTATCACAAATACTGCAGAAGACCTATTGGACCCACATGCACCTAATATTCTCATAGAAATCAGTCAAGTTTGGTGAAGGAAAAATCATGGTTTGGTGTTACATTCAGTATTGGGGCGTGCGAGACATCTGCAGAGTGAATGGCTACATCAACATCCTGAGGTATCAAGACATTTGTGCTGCCCATTACATTACAAACCAAAGGAAAGGGCTAATTCTTCAGCAGGATAGCGCTCCTCATACTTATGCCTCACATCAAAGTTCCTGAAAGCAAAGAAGGTCAAGGTGCTCCAGGATTAGCAAGCACAGTCACCGGACTTAAACATTATTGAGCATGTCTAGGGTAAGATGGAGGAGGCGATGAAGATGAATCCAATGAATCTTGATGAACTCTGGGAGTCCTGCAAGAACACTTTCTTTGCCATTCCAGATGACTTTATGATTTAGTTATTTGAATCATTGCATAATTCATAGCAAATACAATAGTGTTTTTGAACCATACCATTTCAAAGTTTGTTATATTGTATGTATTCTTGAATTCATAATTTAATGAATGCTCAATCATAGTATTACCTATTTTAAACTGATAAACTGTAATAAATACTGTAACTGTACATTCACACTGAAAGCGGCGAGAGCGTCAAAGTAGCCGGAAGTTATTCATTTTCAATGAGAGTCAGCGGCGGGGAGCAGCGCTGCTCGTCTTCGCTGATGTGGGCGTCGAGGAGAGTTGAAATCAAGTCAACTTTATAAGCTATGATGCGGTTCGGCGGCAAGTAATCAGAATGTAGAAGTTCACCGCTTGAGAGAAGTCCAGAGAACACAATCCTTTGATCTTTGGTTCTGACCAGAGTTGTTCCCAGGGGTTTGACTGTTGCGGTCGCCGGATTTAATCCAGTTATTTGCAATGTTTTGTTACAGGAACATAATTTAAAAAGTTACTGGTGAGTTACTGATGTGCATTAATGTTATAAGTTATATTTTTGTCTTTAAAAAAGCGGGAATGTCATGCGAAAGTACAAAACAGTACTGCTGCTTCAGGATAATTCAGACATATGGACACATTGGATAATTAAGTGAAGCAAAGCCACACCACATGCAACTTGATCTCCCATTGTTAAATGAATTTGATAATAAGTATGCAACATTTTCACGCTAGAAGGTATATTTTTATGCAACTGATGTTTATGTAACTAATATGATAGGCTGCAATGGCCCCTTTAAATGCGAGATCAATGTAGCGAATTTTGATGCTCTCCCCGCCAGAGCTGACAATGTTGTCGCAAGGGGCGGCCAGAGCAACCTTTGACACTCTTGCTGCTTTGGTGTGAACGTGCAGTTAAGGAATCTTTAGTTTGCTGTTGTGGAAACTTTACAGTATTGGGTCATTTGTTTATACAGGATTACTATAGTTGTTGTATTACAACAGCAGCTATAAAAGTCCATATTGTGTTGAGGTGAACAATAGTAATTTTGCCTATAGGGTGACAAAATAAAGTCTAGAAATGGCCCTGGAAATAGTACTGTATTAACATTTTCCAATTCCACCAATACAAGTAGAGACAAGACTGCATAAAAGTTGGTGTAACCGCTGCAATGTAAAATATTTTGAAACAATTCACTACACTTTAAAATATTATATGACCAATTAGTCCTGACAGCATTAGTCTTCATAGTAATTGTAATTGTAATAGTAATAATAGTAATAGTAATTAATAGTAATTAGTATTTTTATTAGTACTATTACTTAATAGTAATAGTAATTAGTAATTGTAACTTATTAAACTAATTTAACCATGTTCTAACTTAATTTTATAAGTTACGCAAGCTGTTTTAAGTCAGTTTACATAGTTCAATGCACTCATAAGGTTAATTTGATTCAGCTTAAAAATAAGACAGCCAAGATTTTTTGACAGCGTAGTTGTCTATACTGTATATACGCAAGAATGATCTCCAGTGGGTTTGTTCATGTTAACAAGTGACATTAGAAATACCAACCTGCTCTTATGTAATAATTGATTGGTATTTAAGTGCGAAATGTACTCAAGACACGCACAGGAACAGGTTTTATTTGCCTTTTGTCATATGAGTAGCATTTATTCAGTTACGGAATTGATGGTTTTGCGAAGTAAAGCTACTGTCAGGAGCAGATAACAGCAGCGTGTGGTTTGTTTGAAGTGCTGTACTGTATTGTTTGCTCTCTGTCTTTCCTTCACTTCACAGGATGAGCATGTGTGCTATTTTGCCGCTTGAATCAGACTCAATTATGCTGGAAATGGTCGTTTACAAAGCTAAATATAAACTGCTGTACAATATGCGGCATTAATTTTCATTGTTCTTCTGACGGCTGACATTTGGTTTCACCGTGGTTAGAGATGGAGAAGGCAATGATGCCCCTTTGTTATTTCTCCATCCCCCTGTCACCATCCTCAGTGTCTTTCTGTCAGTCTGTCTCTTAGAGAATAAGAAAAAAAAACACTTTCTTTTTTCAGATTCTGAACTGTGAGCATCGTGTTTGGAGCTATCGCTGCCACTGGGGAGCCGTCCGCTGGGTACCACTCAAATGAAATGGTTGAAATGTTCCTGTCCCTGCCTCTGTCTTCTGTCCTTTCTGCCCTGCAGGCTCCTGAGCGTGCGCACGTGTGCAGGCATGCATGCATCTGTCCGTTCATCTTTGCATTTGTATGCGGTAGGATACGACCATTCTCTTATATACTGGCAAACCAGACCATGTGCATTTTTGTTTGTAAGAGTAAGCAATCATGGCCACTTCTGCTGTGTGTCTGCTCACTAAATCACTGACACAGATGGAGGCTTTTTTTCATGCACAAAAACAAAGACAAGATGCAATGGCAAACAAGTGATCTGGCAAGCTAGTGTGTTCTGTTTTGAGCACTGATGCATTTGTAGTGAGCCGGTCATTGAAGGCAGGCTAATTTTACTAGGCGTTCTGTTTTGTGCAGACGTCAGGCTCATTTCTCCATCTCCTCGGGCTTTGAAAGCTCATTAGATGCCAGGGCCTTGTTGAAGTCGAATTATCAGTTGTTCTGTTTTGTTTTCTGGCACCAAATGCAGATTCGCTAATTTCCTCTAATCACGAGGTGAAGGATGGAGGCCTGGTCTGAAGCGTGGAAGCCTCTCACTGTGCCTTAAATCAGATATTGTACTGTAGGGACTCAATCTGACTGAATCAGTGAGTCATTTGCAGGAGACTTGCTTTGGATCATCTGAATCATTGAGTCTTTAGGCTTCATTAAGTTGGTACTACAGTAAGTTTGACACTTACTTTGTGACTATTTAAATAGGTTCTACTGTATATGCTATGCATTTAGTTGTGGACAGTAACAGTGTGTTTTAATTTAAGTTCACAAATCAATCTTCAGTTTCTAATTGGACTAATTAAAATGCATGTTATTTCAATTCTCAATCCTCTGATTCAGATGATCCAGTCAGATTGAGAGTCCAGCTAATGACTCACTGATTCAGATGATCCAGTCTTAGCAAGTCTCCAATTATGACTCCCTGATTCAGATGATCCAGTCAAATTGAGTGCCCAGCTAATGAATCCCTGATTCAGACTATTCAGTCAGAGAGAGTATCCAACTAATGGCTCACTGATTCAGATGATCCATTCAGAGCGAGTCTACAGCTAATGACTCACTGATTCAGATGATCCAGTCGGAGCGAGTCTCCAGATAATGATTAACTGATTCAGATGATCCAGTCAGTCAGATCGAGTGTCCATCTAATGACCAACTGATTCAGATGATCTAGTCAGAGTGAGTCTACAACTAATTACTCACTGATTCAGATGATCCAGTCCAAGTGAGTTGCCAGCAATTGACTCACTTATTCAGATTATCCAGTCAGAGAGTGTATCCAACTAATGACCAACTGATTCAGATAATCTAGTCAGAGCGAGTGTCGAGATAATGACTCACTGATTCAGATGATCCAGTCAGACTGGGTCTACAGCTAATGACTAACTGAATTCAGATGATCCAGTCAGAGCGAGTCTACAGCTAATGACTAACTGAATTCAGATGATCCAGTCAGAGCGAGTCTACAGCTAATGACTAACTGAATTCAGATGATCCAGTCAGATCGAATGTCCAGCTAATGATTCATTGATTCA